ACCCAATCTCATAGATGTGGAAAAGAAAATGCAAAAATAACTATAGCACAAGGAAGCTATTAAGGATGAATACTAATTTTTTCCCCATGGCCCAATATTTTGTCATAAAGATAGCATTAAAAACAAACTTAACAGTTATTGGAAAAGAAAACATGAAGCCATAATTTTCTGTAAAATGTTTGGACAACAGCTCATCATAAAGTGCCAAATCTGAAATAGATATCAGCGATCATGGTTCTAAATTCATATCTCCACTCTATAAAACCCTGGTGCTTCCCATCACTCATCTGTTCAGGTTTTCAAAAAAAGTGTCTCTGGGTTTACCCCTGCCTTGTTTGTCTCCTATTTTTCTGGTGAGAGAAAGATATTCAAAGCCATTTTGAACAATAGCTCTTGCAATAGAAGTGTCGCTCGGTCGCTAGGTGATGGCAACCCATTGCTTGTTTTACCATGCGACTAGGAAACTAGACCAGCATGGAATGAGCAAGCCAACCCTTTCATGGATCCTGGAGAGGAGGTAGGAGCAGCTATGGCATTGTACTGCCTGCAGTGATACCTATTCTCCAACCAAGTAAGTAAGTAACCATGGCACTTGGTTTTCCTCATCTGACACATTTCACTTTATTTCACTGTTGCATCAAATCAGCAATAAAAACAAAGCTAACCAAAAATAAAGACAACAAAACAAACACAACCTTCTTACCCCCCCCCCCCCTTCAAAAGAAAACAAAAACCCATTTTAATTAGCCTTACGGAAGTCCTAAACTTATGAGTACCTCCAATTAGGACCTCAGTAGGGAATGGTTTGCTTTCTTCATTTTGATCAGTCTGCCTCAGGCAGCAATCTGTCTTACAGTGCCACTTTTCTCAACAATGAGTGGCCGTCTTACACAGGTTCGACAGTATTTCAAAATCATGTAACTTACTTAAACTCCAAGACAGAAGGAGGTTCGGCTGACAGTTGATTGCCTGAGCAGTCTTGTGCTCTACACAAACATCTTCCATTGGCATTAACACTTTTGTGACATTTGGAGCTGGAAAAAGACAGTATTGAAACATTAACAGTTATTGGAAAAGAAAACTGTAAAATGTCAGGATCATAGCTCAACATAAAGTGCTAAATCTGAAACAGACATCGGCGATTATGGTTCTCCATTCACTTCTCCGCTCAGATGTTCTTAAAAAAACCTGGTAGTTCCCTGTAAATCATCTGTTTAGGTTTTCAAACAAAAGTTGCTCTGCGTCTACCCCTTCCTTGTTTTCCTTCCAATCTGTTTTTCCAGTGAGAGCAAGACACTCAAAGCCTTTATGAACAATAGCTAAAATTCTTAAACCATCAAAGACAGCATTTTCTCTGTTGGGTAGACTGCATTCCAGTTTTCAGACAAGAACTGTCTCTTGTCCTCTGCAATCTGTCTGCCACAACCACGAGAACTGCTCACATTTTCCAACAAATCGTTGTCCTCAAGCTGCAATAGCATTTGACATGTCCACAGCTTTTGATTTCTTTTTTAGACGTGAGGAGGAATATTTCAGTAATATTTGATTTCCCAGTGCCATGGGAAATTTTGTCTTCTGTCCGGCATACTCCCAGCTGGTCTTATAGCACTTCATTTCAAAAACAAGTTTTATTTATTTTACATCAATTTATTATTCTTTTTAAACTTTTCCTTAGATATATTTGTAACAACCTGGAATGTATATTTAGAGATGGGTAACGGGAATAACATTAGCATGCCTCTGCAGAAGGCCTGCAGCACTATATGTTCATGGAAGGACAGTAATACCAATTTGGAAAGAATAGACCAGCTAAAGGGAGATAGTAAGTCATTTGAGCCTTCCAAAGAATTAACTATAGGGAGGTCCACTTATACTGAAATATGCAGGGCCACTACATTTTCTTCAGTTTAGCTAGGTTTCAATGCAGAGAGGAATGCTCAAATAGCAATGATTGTTGACAGCATTGAGTCGGGAATACAATGCTTGCAGCAATTTTCATTTTCTAAATGTTTTTTCCTCATCTATCTCTTTCAGTAATTACAATTTGAGCAACAGACTGTACGCATTGTGCTTCCTCTTCAATATAGTCAGCCTGCTTACTCTGCCAAACAGTCAGTCAGAACAGACAAAAGAGTAACAAATAAAGAAGTGAGAAAGAAAGCCGAATGCCAGTGATGTCATGAAACACAGCATGTGTCATCACCTGCTCATGTGTTGGGCCTACGTGAATTAGCTTCACAGAGACAATAAGCAATGGCCAACTGAAGGTCGCATGACAGACATACATTTGCTACCCTTGCATCACTAGTATGATGTGTGTGACAAACGTAGGTAATATCATTAGTTTTGTCATCTTGAGGTTCACAGGTATGTACCTTGCTTCATTGAGCTTTATGAGAAGAACTTAAAACAATTGTGATTACAAGCAAATAGATTGCATCTATTTGAATCATGTCTATTGAGAAGGACAAACTTACCAAGCAAGCCTCACAATGTTCCTGTTATCAGCATCGATATCAAAGTGACTGAGGAAAGCATAGACAACACCATAACTACACTGCCCATTGGAGTACAGCAGATCTTTTTGTAGTTTCTTTACTTCTCTTACCATCAGCACATTGGTGATTGATGAAACTGAAACACACAAATCACAACTGTAGTAAAAATATTTGCAAGAACAATCATCTCCTCTTCCTTCAAGTCCACTCCTCCATTTTCTCCCCTTCCACCTTCTTCCCCTTATTTTTGCAGTACCCTACATGATCTCAAGAGTAGTACACAAACGGTTTCCATAAAGCAAGCATTTCTTATGTACAGTCGAAACTGTCTGAGACAGCCACCCATTGCCAAGGAAAAAAAGGGGCCATATCAGACAAGTGGCTGTCTTACACAGTCATTTTAAAAATTATTTTTTGGGGGTAGGTGTTTTATGGCGCTCGCAAATGCATAGGTCATAAATGAGCGCCCGGAACCCATTAAACTTTTTCAGTAGGTAGAAAATTTTGAATTTTGCTCGGGTGGCGGCCGAAACCTACTCAAATCCATTTTAGACTATCAAGGGATCTTTAATGTGCACAACTTACACACGGGTCCTCCGAAATTTTTCACCCTTGTCCGAGAAGGCTAGGTGTAGATCTTTCCTACCAGAAGATTAGAGGTGTGGCTGAAAGACAGCAGTAACAAGGAGCCAAGAAGTAGCAGTAGAAAGGCTGCAGAAAGAGTCAGGAGCCCAGAGAAGGGGGCAAAGGAGGTTAGGGGGTGGGGGCAGAAAGAGGAGATGAAAGCAAACGTCAGAGCATGGTTAGAGAGCAGGAGAAGAGGTGAAAAGAGACAATCTTAGAGAAGAAAATTGTTCGGTCGTTACCCGAATTCGAACCCACAACCTTTGAATGAGAGGCCAACACCTTAACCTCTAGGTCATGAGAGCCTCCACACAGTCATTATAATATAAAAAATATGCAATGGAGAAAATGGGAAATGGGCATTTTTACAGGTGATTGTCTTATACAGGTCGCCATTAAAGCAGGTTCGACTGTACAATGCCAATTTTCCTGCAAAAGATTCTAAGGTGTATTGCCAACTTTTCTAGTAAAGATTTTAAATTATATTGTCAATTCTCCTAGTGAAGATTGTTAAGTAAATCTACATTGCCAATGCTCCTACCAAACATACTTAAGTATTCTATTACTAATGTACCTATATTCCTACTAAAGATTCTTAAGCATATTGCCAATGTTTCTACTGAAGAAATTGCCAAGACACCTAATAAAACATAGTGTTCCTTACCATACAGGAAGCCATTGGGTATTTTCAAGGTACTCTTGAATGTTTTACGGAAATGAGTTCACTCAATCTGTTTCAGTTTGACATTCACAACACATTTAAAGCACAACATTGAAAAGGAAACTTTTTTTTTCAATAAACACAATGATTAACAACACTTACAATTCTATGAAAGAGACGAAAAGGTAAGTAATAATGACTTACTCTCAGGATCCTTGGTTACTGACTCAAGCACACTCACAGAATCATGATTCATGGTGTCTGAGAACTGAGATCTGCCAAACTCACTCAACATCTGAGCTTCCAAGGTGTCTGAATTTGGGACCCAAAAATAATAATTTTTAACTCACGTTTGTTTTAACTCTATCTTAATCAAAGAAACATTTGTATTCCAAGTTTCAGTCTACGCTTTTGGAACATTGAAAGTACAATGGCTTTACTTTAAACTTAAGCTTTCATAGTCAAACGAACACATTGAGTATTCATAACACTAACTGAACTAAACGCACAGGCAATTTACTTGATGCTTGTGGCATTCACACTCAAATCTGATGTTCCAAGAAAAAAATTTTACACAAAACCTGTCAAATCAAACATACCAAACTTTCTACACACTTACAACACAACTTGTACAGTTAATGATTATCACTTATTGAGGCCCATGATTCACAACCAATAAATGGGATGTCTATACAACAACAACGTTCGCACATTGTGTTAATCTCATGGAACTGTATCAGTGCAATTCTATTGTGTTACATTGATAAGGCAAGGTCAAAGGCAATCTCTTACCAGGGTCCACAGTGAAGACAGTCTTTGAGTCAGTGCATGCCACCATCCCAGAGTGAAAATCACTGTAAGTGATTCTCACATCAGCAGCAAATAGAACTGTATATGAGAAATATACTAGTGATCAATCATAGTACTAAGCTCAGTTCAAATACTTGTTACAGCTTGAGGCTTTCTGACAATGTCTGAATTATGTACACTAAAGAAATAGAGGACAAAGCTGATTGGTAAAAAAAAAAAAACAACAACACAGAAAAAATCTGCCCAACTTATTAGCCATGAAACATAAATTCATGGTGCAAAACAAAACAAAAAAATCTTAAAATAAACCAAAGTATGGGACAAGTTACACATAAATTTTTATTTCAGGAGACTGGTTAGCAATGAGGAGAACAGAACGATTTGCCACTGTCCACTCATTTTAATTCTAAGTCTATTGAAGGGAGTCTTGTCAAATTTGCCTTTTTGTCTTCTACAGGGCTAATTTGGCTGAAAATGATTATAAATTTTCAACCACACTCTTTCGACAAATTGTCAAATTCAAAATGCAAAAATGTAAGTCTAGAAGGAAAAACAGCATATGAGTACAATGACCCACAAAGAAATCACAAAAGGCAAGTCAACAGAAACTACAAGCTCAACTTTCAACTATATAAATCATAAGTATGTCTTAAACAATGCATCAAAAAAAAAAAGAAGAAAATCCATTAATATGGCTCTAAAAAAAAGAATGAAAAATGTCAAGAAAGATTTAACAAGAATAAAAACCTGTTTGTAAAGGTTTCCAATCATCTGTAAGATTGACAAAGCAGCCCCATCTGGTGTAATAAGACAAAAACAATCTGAGCGTGTACAAAATAAAGGCACAGAGCTCTCTTAACATAAGCAAAACAAAAAACAAGAACAAGAGCATAATTATTTTTTTCAGATACCTGACCTTCCAGTGGTATCCTTAAACTACACTGGGTTTTTTTTTCGTGGCCAAGAGGTTAAGGTGTTCGCCTCTCATTCAAAGGTCCCAGGTTCGAATCCAGGTAGAGACCGAAAAATTTTCTGCTCTAAAATTGTCTCCTTTCACCTCCTTTCCTGCTCTCTAGCAATGTTCTGTTGTCTGCTTTCGTCTGCTCTTTCTGCTCCCACCCCCTCACCTCCTTTGCCCCCTCCCCTGGGCTCCTGACTCTTTCTGCAGTTTTTCTACTGCTACTCCTTGGCTCCTTCTTACTGGTAGGAAAGATCTACACCTAGCCTTCTTGGACAAGGGCGAAAAATCTTGGAGGGCCTGTGTGCAAGTTGCGCACATTAAAGATCCCTTGGTGGTCTAAAATCGATAAGAGTAGGCTTCCGTCGCCACCCGTGCAAATTTCAAAATTTCCCACCAACTGAAAATGTTTTAAAATTTCCTACCAACTCAAAAAGTTTAATGTGTCCCGTGCGCTCACGTGACCTTAAGCAATTGCGAGCGCCGTAAAACACTTACAAAAATAATAAAATTTTTAAAAACCTACACTGGGGGCTCTAATGGCTAAGTGAGTAGTGAGTACAGACTCAAAAGTAATGTCAAGCAAGTGTCTGTGACACAGGGTTTACATGGGTGGTTGCTGGAGTGTATCTTTGGGCAAAACATAAAAACCCTAGCTCAAAACACAGGGCGCTGCACAATGGTGACCAACAATGGCATGTTTGTGAAATAGTTCTGTATTGGTATAACATTGTGTACAGGTATTTATGTCTGTATTTATGTACATATGTATTTCTTATTATGTATTTATGTATATCTGTTAACCATTGTAGCCGAAATTTCCCAACGGGGATCAATAAAGATAAGATAAGATAAGATAAGATAAGATAAGATAAGATAAGATAAGATAAGATACATCTTTATTGTCCAGATCCTGGCACATTGGTTTGGTGTTCCACCACGAGTACACACACACACACACACACGCACGCACGCACACACACACACACACACACACACATACACACACACACACACACACACACACTCACACACACACACACAAACACACACACGTACACACGTGCACACACATGCACACACAAGTAGGCTTACAATCACATGCATAATATAAATGAGCAGCAATATGAACAATAATAATCGTAAGCTAGATACACACTCAATGTTATTTTGATGCATGCTCTAAGGTCGTAAGTACACTAAACAAGACTAAACAAAATGTAATTTATTGTATTATTGTATTCACACATGGGCTCTCATGATCACAAATACACATTATATACATTTACACACAAAAAAACAAGCCAAACTTTGAAAACAATAATACACACATAAACATATCAAATAAACAACAAAGACACTTAATAAATAAAAGCAAGTATAAAAACACTACTCACAGGGTCAGTTGAAATGCTGAACATGTCTCATCACAGAGAACTACATCAACCTTTGTAATATGTTTCCCTGTTTTCGTTGTAAGTGCTCTCACTGGCCATACCTTTGGATGATGATGATAATAATAATATAATCATAATTAATTGTAAATGTGTATGTTTTACATCCCCATTCACACAATACAGATTATTTATGTGGGGGACTGTTTCAAATCTGTGGATGATGATTATGATGATATAACAAACTTAAGTTAATGTATGTTTTGCACCCCCAACAACACAATTTAGATAATTTATGTGCACCCTATCTGCTACAGCCAACCCCAGCTGAAAGACATACCTCCAAGTAGACACACGAATATTCTCTACAAAAAAACACCCTCATGTCTTCTGGGTGCCTGAGTATTACCTCAAAGACTTTGGCGTGTTAATGATAATAAGAATGATAATGCATGGGAGGGAATAATTAGTAGCATATGAGTCATGACGTGGTGGAATCAGGCGCTAGTCAATTTTTGGACATGTGGAGTTATTGGTACCATCTTAAAGTTTGTTTATTTGTCTTGCTTTTGATGAAGAAATTACCCATCTATCTTGAATAGGAGTTGAGGTATTTGCTAGGGCTTGGCAAGTACCCGGGTAGTTACTCGGATACAAGGGTAAAGAGCTTAAAACCGGCTACCCGGGTATTAGTGTCGGGTACCCGGGTTTTCTGCTCCCCTTCGTTAATGCTATACAAAAGCACATAAATTACGTCCCTTCGTTCAAACGTCAATAAGTACGGAGTACTTATCGATACTGAGCTCTCTTAGTCGATACAGTACTCCATTGATATTGGCCACTGGCAGTTCTTTTGCCGAGTGAGCTTCTCAACCACTTCACACAACTCGAGTACATACACATGTATTTTGCGGCAGCATCAACTATCCTTGACCCCTGTTTCAAACGGCTTCCTTTCTGTGAAGGCGCAACAACAAAAAATAGAAACTCGCCTTTTTTCAGTAATTAGAGACAAACAAGGTGGTGGTACGGTAAAGCATGGAGGAGATGGTTTTGTTTAAATATTCACAAAAGAGGAGGGGGGGGTGGGGGGGAGGTGAACATAATAATAGTTGTAAAGCGCATAGAGCATGCTCTTGAGCATGGATATGCGTTATATAAATGCAATTATTATTATTATTATTAACTGGGTTGCTGTTTTTTACTGATGAAGTCATTGTCCTGTAAAAAAAAACACTTGAATGAATAAATTTCATGCCAAAGTAAAGAAACAATAGAGAAGGAGATCAACATATTTTTGGCAAAAGTAGAGCACATACAGTGAGTTACAACTTAAAAGTAAAGATTCAGTCCTGAGCATTGTACAAGTATTCTTAACATCAAGACTGACATCATACCAAGCATCAGACTGTGACAAAACAACTTACCTTCTTCACTAAAGCAAAGATATTGATGTGTTCTGTGTGGAGATTCATCCCATTAGCTTGGATGTCTTCCAAGGTATAGAAATCATTGCTTGCTCGGGTTGGTACTCGCAAAAGGGAGGAAAAATTCTCAGCGTCCAGTCCATAGTAGAAATTTAATTCTCCATGATTCTCACCCAAGTTTAAGCAAAAGGAGCTGGAAAAGTTAACACAAATAACTACAGAATATATTTTATAAGAATCAAGAATACATAAAAGAGAATATCATGCACATACTGAAAGACTACTGTGATGACATCCAGAAGGTATTTCATAACCTGGCTTTACTTAATTATATCAAAGAGAAACGATTAAAGCTTATAAGTATCATTCTAATGGAGCATATTTCACCATCATGTCAAATAAATCGTACAAACTCAAAGAAGAAATCAAAGAGATTTATAAATATATATGCATCATAGTAAGCTTTCAAAAAGTACATTTTTGAAAGATAAATAACTCTATATATATACCCCCTTAGAGGTAAATATTGTCAGCTTATCAAGCTAAGACATTCACTCTATTATATAGTACTCAGTAAAACTAGTACCCTTTATAAATCAGTTTGCAAATGTCTTGATTGAAAAGTCCTAAAACACAAGCATTCATACGATATGGTAATAAAGTGGGATAAGCACACTAGGAAGTATGAAGTCTAATAACAAGACCAATTAGTATAGCTTCTTCTCGGTAGTTGGAGTGTGCCACTGACAGGTACTTCTTTTCTTTTCCTCTATGGTTTCTGTCTTTCTATCTTGCTTTTTCTTTGCTTGCGTTAGAGAACACCAGCAGAAAAGAGAATAACAAGAAAGGACCATATTTTACAATGTTTGACCACAAAGAATAATTTTCTCAAGCTGCCAAAGTTTTTATGTCCATATGGAATTGCTGCACAGGCTAAGTTTAGTACATAAAATCATAGCTTTTATAAGCAACAGATTCTTAGCAATAGTATTATAATTATACTAACATTGAAAAGAAATTTTAAAAAGCAGACCATACCAGAGTATACCTACAAAACAGGGGCGTCTTGTGGGGTTTTAAAGTGGGCATGCTCAATTACGCTATCACAAGCTGAAGATAGTCACGGTCATTGTAATTGAGATAGTAGGCTATATAATTATATTATCTTTGGGTTGGTGAGAACCTAATTTTTTCATTTTCATTCTCTTCTCGTCATTTTGACTTAAAAACTAAATCTAATAGTAGTAGTAGGTAGTTCTTCATTGCCGAAGATGACAAAGAAATCCTGCAGCTCATCTATGGACGTGCATGTGGCTGTGCAATCCAATCTTGGATGTACAATGTCTGACGAAGTGGGGACACAGGAATGTCGAGGTTGGGGTGGTTGGATTATATCTCCTCTCTCTTCTGATAGTCAGCTTCTCGTGGATGATGAAGATATGGTGATGAGCAGTAGAATGAACCTGTGCATGACTTTGTTTAAAGTGGAGCTGTCGTTGCACGGCGGCAGTCCCACTCTCTCGGCCTAGGAAGGCTTTACTCAGTGGCACGGAAACCGTTACATCTGGAGACTGCTAGGCTGCAGTGGATGGCCAGAACTTCTTTGGAGAACTAAATCTATTTGTGAGCTAAAAATCAGCTTCATTCATCCTGCATTGGAACTTCACACTCAAGTAATAACACCTTCAACACAATACACCATTCTACTACTGGTGACCTAATTATGTCACGCTGACCTCATTAACGGGAGGAGCTACCCTTGAGGACCATTTTCTATGTTTGTTGCCCGAGATCAAATCTAAGTACACATATAAGTTAGACATAGTAAAATCTCTTGATACGCAATTTCATTTTGACATAGGTAAAGCGGTTGCTATGGAAACGGCCGCCATCTTGAAAATAAACAATGGATTTCAAATCCCTAAGGTATTCTTATTTACAGACTAAATTTGACCAAATGTGGGGAGAGTTTACCTGAACCAGACCCTATCAGTGTAACAGCAAGTTTTTTTCAATAAGTGCAAAAGAAAAATAAATATGAGTATTTTCCCAAAGTATAAAAAAACTTTTTTTAAATTTAGGTTGCGTAATTGCTTGCCAATGGAAAAGTATTATTTTTTTCGCAAATATCTCTCTGTTATATTGATGGCAGCCATGCCAACAATGTTTCCTGAAAGTTTCATGTCAAAAGGATGAAAACTAAGGAAGGAGTAGGGAAAAAACTGCACAAAAATTACATTTTTTGAAAACCGACAATAATTGTGAAAATTCACTATATAAATCCATCCTCATGTTTTTAAAGGCAATTTACCTGGAGAATAAAGTCTTTCTCAATTGTATCCATGCTATTTTTAGACAAAAAACAGGTTTATCTTAAAAAATCAGCCAATATAAAATGTGCATAGCCTGACCCAAAATCTGCAAAATCAAGGGTCGCTCCTCCCCTTAAAGCTTGGGGTCTCAGAGGCTAGACCTAATATTAAAATGATATAATATGTTGCAGGGCGCTACATCACAGTAATGACTGTTAAGGCATCAGCAAGGACCTTGTACTGATAAAATGTTTGGACAGTGCTTGTTGCTGGCTTCTCTTATTCTCTGTTGGCGATGGGTGCTTTACACAAAAGAATATTAAACATTTTGGGAGGTACTGCACGGCCAAGCTCTAGCCCACAGCATCAGTTACACCAACAACTAAATAATTAACAAAACAGAGGAAGAAAATATAAAAAAGAAAGAGAGGACACCAAAAACAGAAAATACATCCCCAAAAAAGTACCTTGGGGTCCATGGTTTAAACTTCTCATCTGAAGGATTCTTTGACTTGGCCTGTACTTGGGCACCCTTTACCTCAACTGACAAAACAAGAAGGAAAAATTAGAATCATAAAATGTTTGTGTCAGAGATGCAAACGCATATATTGTAACAGTCTTTGCAAGCTTTTCCATATACATATTTTAAAATCTACGCGGCACTGTAAACCAGAGGGTCAGACATTTGTAACTATCAACAGTAAAAAAATCCGATAATTTTTAACCCAATGGGCGGGAACAAATTCTTTTACCCTCCTCTTTTAACCCCTTCCTTACCTTTGGCGTACCCCGTTCATCATTTTATCTTATACGGCGAAGGAGGCAAGTTGTGCTGTGTTGTATGGCATTCCTCATGCCTTGCACAGCACAACGACCACAATGACGAACACAGTTCGTCATAGTTTGTACTCTGCATACTGCTTCCATTAGATGCACATCATAAGACTTATTGAAGATTCACATTAAGTTATATTTTTTCCGTACAAAGAAATCTTTTCCTTTGATAAATAGCGGTATTTACAAACCGGGCCTTATTATAGGCAACAGCTGCTAAATCTTGCTTTTCTCTGTCCCTGGGGATCCAAAACTACCCAGCGAAGCACAAACAGACCCTGTGTCACAAAAGAGGTTAAAAACACTTGTCTGAACACTTTTAGAGTGTATAGCTATATTATGTTTCATGGCACTATTTACATGATTTGGTGAGTTATGGCTCAACACAGCTTTAAGACACTTAATATATTTGCCAGATGCAAATCTTTACCCCCAAAAATTGTTCAAGCACATGCCTGACTTACATACAAAGTTTTTTCATCAGCAACTTCATCCAAAATGGAAGAACCTGTATCGGTGGTGTAGTGGTTAGACATTTTGCTATCACACGCAAGACACCTGAGTCTGATTCCCAGAGTGGGGAGAGTTCCTATCACGTACCTCAGTCTTTCTGCAGAAATGTTGTACCCTCTCAGCCCGGGATGGCCTGACAGGCACGGTCGGAAGCCCACCTCCTCAAAGATCTAGTTTGTGTCGATGGGAATGTAAGAACATAATTCTTTTTTTATTTAAAGGCAGAAATATCTGAAATGGACGTATCAACGTACCAACATCTCCGACTTTAAATTGATCCGATAGTCGAGTGGCATAGTCTTGTCCACCCCAGCATGTGATGTTTATGAAGGCAGTCGGGTCATCTCGTAATGTGAAAGAAACAAGGTGCCTTTCAGTGCCAGTGCCTGAAGGTGATCAAAATTGATCAAGAGAATTATTAGTATCATGTAAGGAAAACAGATGTCAATTAATGTGAACACGCACGAGTGTGTGTGTGTGTGTTTGTGAGAGTGTGAGAGAATGTGTGTGTGTGTGTGTGTGCATAAGTGTGGTCATGAGTGTGAGCATGTGTGTATGTCTGTGTGTGTGTCTGTGTGTACTTGTGGGTCTTGTGTTTGTGTGTGCATCAGTGTGTCTCTGTGTGTGCATCAGTATGTGTGAGTGTGTGTGTGTGTACGTTTGTGTGAACTGTGTGTGTGCATGTGTGTTTGCATGTCTGTATGTGTCTGTGTGGGTGCATGAGTGTGTGCGAGTGTGTGAGTGTTTGTGTGTGTGTGTGTACGTGTGTTGTATGTGTGTGTGTGTATATGTGTGTGAACATGTATGAGCATGTGTGCGTGTGTGTGTTTGTGTGTGTGTGTTTGTGTGTGTTTGTGGGTGAGAGAGAGAGAGAGTGTGTGTGAGTGTGTGTGTG